GCTGCGCTCCTGCTTCAGCCCCTGCGCTAAGTTTAGCGCATCAAAACAGTACACTGGTACTGACCATGCCGTGCCGGTAGAGTTCCGGTAGGCCGATCCCCAAATGAGGCAGGATACCGGTACTTATACCGGTAGGCAATGGTCTGGCCTCAATGCTGCGTGGCCAGGCCAGACCCTGGACCATCCAGATGGACGGTTCAGCCTCAATCGGCGGGCGGCAGCTTCAAGAGCGCCGCCAGGCCCAAATGAAGTGTCGTTTGGGCCTACCCGATGGGTGCTGGTCCAAAATCAGGCCTTTAGGGCCTGTAACCCCAAAAGGTCGGGCCTTTAGGCCCTGGTGTGTCCCTCCGGCCCTAAGTCGGGTCCGGTAGGACCCGTGTGAGTCGAAGATGTAACAGTTATGTAGTGGCGCAAGGCCCAAAGAGTGGATATGGCTGAAAAGAAAGCGCGTCGAAGATCAGATGAATCAAAAGAAAGAGAGTCAAAGATCGGATGACTGAAAAGAAAGAGATTCAAAATTGGATTCATCATTAATGAAAAAAAACAGAGAGTCAAAGAAACCGCCTCGTGTCTCTTTTCGTCTGGTCTCCCTCTTGTGCCTTCTTGTATCTGGTTCATGAACTTTCTTGCTGGTAATAAGCAATCAGAGTCCTTCCCCCTACAATAGATTGGGTCTCTCTCTCTCTCTCTCTCTCTCTCTCTCTCTCTCTCTCTCTCTCTCTCTCTCTCTCTCTCTCTCTCTGTGTGTGTGTGTGTGTGTGTGTTGTCATATTCGCTATATACAATTCCACAAAGAAAAGCATGACTGTGCCAGACTGTTCTGTCGGACTTTCACTGACTCATCAGGAGGTTGAACCCCAACAGTCCGCCCAGGATGCATTTGACTGATGTATAAGGACTCTCACAATCGATCGATAAGCAGAAATGACTCAGATGAGGTTATCGCCCCTGTCATGGTGGTATATCTTCTCGCATGGTGGAGGCAAGAGCTGATCACCGCCAGCTTCTGCTGCTTACTCGAGTAGGTGCAGGACGCGTGTAAATTGTGAAAGAGCAGCTCAGTTTTGCAGTCTGCACTTTGCCCTGATTCTTGCGAGTAGCAGCACAGATTATGCCTTTCGGTCATTCTTTTTCACACACAATGACACAGCCCAGTAAATCCCGTGATGCTCCCTCGTTAGTTTGTTCCCTGTGAACGTGAGGTTTCCACGATAACACTTGTGCTAAATGATTGAACCATCTGCTCAGTCTCCTGCTTGGAGTCTTCCACCACCTTTTTCTTTGTATTGAAAGAAGATGGACACATCATCGTTTGAGTCTTCCACCTCCTTTTCCTATTGAGGGAAGATGGAAACATCATCCATAATCCTCACCCCATAAGTAAGTACTCTGAATATGCACACAAAAGGCAAGCAGGTGCAGGACTAGAGGCTTTGGCCACTGTACCCATTGGTATCCCAATCGTTTGTTTCAACACCATCCCACACACCATGATCACATATGTGCAGCCTCTAGCCCAGCACTAGGCTTTACGCCCCCCCCCCCCCCCCCCCCCCCCCCCGAGTCGAATTTGACAAAGCGAGCGATATCGACAAGTTGGATCTCCATCCATCCAATTGGCAGTCTACCAGTACGTATGTTCTGTGTTTTTCGGCGCCGCCTTTTCCTCGCTGCTGCTTCAACATCACCCCCTTTCCTCCTCGCAGCCACGAAAAATCAATGATCCATGCAACTGCCTCTATGACAGCCTGGGGAAGCAAGTCGCAAAACATTTCTTTGATATCGAAGGCGGCTGAAAACAAACCCTCATCTATTTCCGGCTCCTCCTTAGTACCCACCGTCACACCACCAGTGGCTAACGGGGTAAAATTAAAAAAACACTGAAATTTAGAGGGGGAGGGGGGGAAGAAATGGTCCCCGTTAACCAGCACTCGCTCGACCTTAACAGGTTTACTGGCAACCACCCCACATTCCTCAAAAGAGGGCCAAATAATAGGCCTCCATTTCCTTGTATCCTTGTGCTTGGGAATCCACGGGGTAAATACTAGGCCTTCATTTCCTTGTATCCTTGTGCTTGGGGAATAACATAACTCCTACCCAATTTACCTAGACTGTTCCGTTTTGCCGAGCTCTCCAGAACAAGATCCCTATACCTCTTTCCATTCATTTCATTCAACCACTTCTCCCTTTTACTGGCCACCCCTTTTTTCTCTTCTGCAGAGCAGGGGTCCAGCGACCTTTATGTTTCTGCACAAATTGTAGTTGTCAGTGCAGCCTTAATTACCTCTCCTCATGGAGAAGGAGAAGGAGGAGGATTGACTGCCACTTCCCGAACGTGAGAAGTCCAGAAGATAAACGCATGGACAGAAGGCCAAGAGGCGGCGTTATTCGCACCAAATCAAACCACTCAAAAGTCTACCATAGACAAACTATGAGGTCGTTGGATCACCGTTTTCACCTGGTAGATCATTGTTCTTTAAAAGAAAAAATAAAAAAAAAATAAAAAAATGGGGGCAATGGCCTCGAGATATCATCAAAGGAACTGACCAGCCCTAGGTGATTCAGAATTTGTAGTATTTTACTCATCTGCTTCTTGTGGAGTTCGAACTCAGGTCTGTATTTTTCAACAGTTCAGGGGTGTACCGACTGAGCTATTTAAAATAAAATAAAAATAAAAATACATTAATAAAATAAAATACAAAATTTTGGTTTTTAAAAAAGCACGACGTCCTTTAGATATCATCATCGAGCTGACCGACCCCACGTAATTCAGAATTAAATTAATTGCATTGCATACTATTCTATAGGTCCGTCGGGATTCGAACTTGGGTCTGTATTTCAAGTTTCATCAGTTCATGTGTGTACCAACTGAGCTACTGTAGGCTCATTGGTTAGATCACTGTTTTTACTTGGCAGATCACTCTTTTAAAGTCTTTTTCACTCCATGGATCTCTGTGTCAACTTGGTAGACCAGTGCTCGTCTCCTCAGCTTGCTGGGTAGATTACTGTTTTCACTTTTTCAAGTTTTTTTTTTTTTTATAATGACTGTTTTCACTTGTTAGACCAGTGCCTGTCTCTTCAGCATGCTGCAGTCCATTGCAGCTGGACTCTGGACTGTGAAGCTACTGTCAACTTTTCATGTTGAGGTTGGTCACCAAGTGAAAACCCATGTCTAACAGGTCTCCAGGGGCCAAGTCCCACTAGCAGCGTTGAGCTACCTCAACGCCTGAATCTGGACGATTCTGCAGAGATGTGCAGAAATGGTGTTGAGTTTCCTGAACTGCACGTCTCCACAAACACGTCCAGATTCAGGCGTTGAGGTAGCTCGACACTGCTTGTGGGACTTGGCCCCAGGGCTGTGTTTCTTAATACTCAGCCTGCACCCATGGGGAAACTTGCAACTGCTAAGGCTTGTGATCCACAGACAAAAAAAAAAAAATCTGGGAAATTTCCCCAACAGTGCCAACACTGCAAAACTGAACATCGTAATAATCTGTGAGACTCCACAGGCCACAAATTCTGTGATTCTTTTTGAAAACTTTGCTCTCCCCCAACTCCGTCATCCCAGCGGCACTGAAGGATTGGATGGCTGAGATTGGGCACTGCTCCACAGGACTCCTTAATGAAGACAATGGTTTTTTTCGCTTCCTCGACAGTAACGAAAGAGGAAATGTGGCCGGGACCCGCTCAGCCACTACAAATTGCCCACGCCTGAAAACCAAAAATCACTGGAAAACAGAAGGGCAAAAAGAAAAACGTCGATTTGCAGTGGAGCCACGACTTCTCGAGGAAATTATTCGTATTAAGTCGGTGGAGCACAACCCGATTTCTCCATGTCTGTCAATAAAAAGCTAGTCAGCTACCCGTCAAGTTGCATCAACCAAGTTTTTTTTTTTTTTTTTTTTTTTCCCCTTGAACCAGTTCTCACTTCAAAATTCAGATGCCTCCCTCTGCTTCTTTTGCTCTCACTGTTGTCCT